CGATCTGAAAGCACCCTGCAAAATTCACAGAAAAGTCAAGTGGAAAAGACGGTGACAATGTTAAGCAATGCCATGGTAGTTAATTACATTAACCTTTGACTTAAGAATGTACTTTTCAGGATTTGTTCACCTTAAATCTGCTCTACTGTCCTGCAAAGTGCCAGTGTCGCCCTAGAGGTTCCGTCTGGCCTGTGTCCAATGAAACGCCACCATCACATCCTGGGTTTGGAATCGTGTGACTGAATGTGGGTCTGTGAAGGTATTAGCAAAGTCCTTGGCAGGCAGAACTCGGATGTAGCAGGAAGTGCTTTTGTTAGGCATGTAGGTGGTACTTTACGTATAGGACAAGAAAATTCAAATTAATCCACCTCCAGATGTTGATAACATATCATCACTTTATTAGCCCTATACAATTTCTTGCATTAGGAATTTTTCTTTTCACATACCCCAGCCTGCTCTCCATGAGACACAGACAGGGAGAGAAGCTTGGGGTCAGAGCGCAGGGTCAGCCGTTGATCAGTACCCCTGGAGCAGTTGGGGTTAAGGGCCTTGCTCAGGGGCCCAACGGAATAGGATTCCTCTGCCGGCTGCAGGATTTGAACAGGCAACTTTCCAGCCACAGACGCAGATCCTGAGCCACAGAGCCACAGAGCCACCGCTCCGCCCCTGATAAAGGGCACCTGCTACAGGAGGCAGTCAGCTGTTGGATGATGCATTCATTCAAAGTGAAGCCTTGGCAGTCTGTATGTTGCAATGTCAATATGACTGAATTGCCTGCAGAAACACTGCCGTCAGGAGCAGTAACAACTTCTTGTCTTTTCCACATGAGAGGAGTTCAAGCAAAGCCACTGGAGCCATTAACGAGGAGATACAAGTATTCTGATGCACTGCAAGACGTATTTTCTGTTTGCCTTAATTATACAAGCCTAGAAAGATACACAAGTAAAAACACCAATGACAAGTTAAAATAACCACTGCCAAACAAAGAATTGATCAAGAAGTTTTTATTGATTTTTTCTTTAAGTACCTGAAACACAAAATATTACACAAAGAAATGAATAAAACTAGCAGACCCCTACCTGTCCCATGCTGGTTTTATGCAAAGAAAAGGGGTTTTCTTCAAGGCTGTTTTGCATAGGTAGCCTGAAACCCAGCAGACAATGTAGCTGTAGACAGAACAACACAGAAATCTACATTGTATGCCAGGTGCAGGCCAGACCTACTTCTGTCCTACTTCTGCCACACCTAAAGAAGGCTCCACGGCCGAAACGTTGTGTTCTCTTTCTTCTTTTTTTCAGCATGGAATAAACCTATTACTTGTTCCCCTACTTCTGTCATGTCCATCTATTGGAGAGGGAGGCTGTAATGCTGGTCCCAGCAGGGGGCTTAGAAAACAGTAGACTGTTTCCCCATGAAGGTCCAATTGAGCTCTTCATCAGTCCTTCCATTTTTTAACACGTTTGTCCAGAGAAGGGCTACAGCCAAGCAAGCAATGGCTCGACAATTTTCTTTCCAGCCATCTCAACCATCGACAAAACCACATCTTCCAGGCTCATTCTGAGATCACTAAATTCAGATCTACAACCAGGTGAAAAGGCACAAACCACAACTGAACATAGCTTAAGCCTGTAAGACCCAAGCACAGGATATAGGAGCAGGCAGCACAGGTCTCCGAAAGCTAAGGTGACATGTTTTTAGTCAATATGAGCTCTTCTGTATTTTTAAGATAAAAAAACATCACATCACTTTCCCTGTATTTAAACTAGCTAAAGTTTCTTTTCCCCTTCAATACAAATAAATCAGAAGAATCAGTTATTTCATTTGATAACCATCACAATATGAGGATTATGAAACACATACTGTAAGCAGAGGCCACGTGTAAAAAATGAAAAGTCCTTAAAAGACCTAATTCAAAATCAGCAGCAGCCTGGATGCTAAGGAACAGGCTATTTTAGGGGGAATTTCAAATATGGCTCCATTTAAATATATGTTTCAGCCTGAAGGTTATCACGGAAGATCAAGAGGTTGCAGTCACTGATGGGAGAAAGTAGCCTTTTGACATTCGAAAAACTTAAATAATCACAAGGAAGACTCTCGCAGTTTATGTCTCCTTCCATAAACCCGACTGATAGCTGTACTGATTTGTGTAGGTTTTGTGCAAACAGGGCTTGAATCTCTGTATTGGGAAAAAAAAGGGGTATCTGCCCAGTTTATTTCAAAAACATATCGAGATTTGTGTCCTTAAGGGGCTTTTGTGATTACTTAACAGTACCAAGATCAACAGTAATGTCTCTAGAAACATATCTAGGAAACTGGAACACACTTGTAAAGATTTAGTTTGGACATAAGCATCTTATCAATGAGTCAACTACAAATTCGGTTAACAAGAGAAATACACCTCCTCTGCCTTTATTCTCCTTTTGTAAACCTTCTCTGCCTGTCTTCTAACTGGGCAAAAGCTGATGACATGAGAACAAAATGAGAAAGGGGAAATCCTTTGGCAGCATAATCATATTTTATATACACACCATGACACATGACCTACTGCAATTTCATTGTCCCTATCTTTAGATGCAAGTCCCATGACGGGAGTGAACCTCAGCTTCAAGCTGCTCCTAAACGAGAAACTTCACAGCCAAAGGTTTTGTGATCCAGATAGGCTCAACAATTACAAGAAATTCACAATAAAGTGCTTAGCAGAAAGGAAGCACTTTTATACCAAAAAAGTGCTGCGTTTGCTCTACATCTGATGCTACCCTGTACATTTCACTGAAAACATGACTGAAAATAAAGCTTGAAAAGTCCCCCTTTTGCTACAAACGCATACGTTTCTTCACTGCCTGTATTTTAGGGTATGAGCGAGGCACATTAAAACTCAATAACAGGAAAAAAGGGATTATAAGAAACATTCAAGTCTTTCATAGAAAATTAAGAAGAAAAAAAACCCTCAACATCCATTTCATTCAGAAAGTCACATTTTTGCTGGTCACAGGATGGAGCCCACATTGTGATAACACACCACACAATTTGAAAGGAATGTGCCAACAGGAAGTGGAAAATGCCATCAGAGACCCAGTAGCCAGATGTAGCTGCTGATTAGAATACAGGATCTACACTGACTACTGAGCACCTCATGAGCATTGCTATTCTACATCTTAAACCACGTTTGGGGTCCTTCACTTCAATCTAAAAAAAAAAAAAAGAGAGAAAAGGCATATTAAAATGGCTTATAAAAACAACACAACCACAATTGATCGAACCTTCCCAAGAACTACAGCTCAGCAGTGGAGATCTTCTGAATCTCTCAAGTGACAAGCATTTTAAAGCCTCTCATTAGGAGTTACACACTTTTTACAGTCTTTACAGTCTTTACAGTCTTTTTTAGACTTTTACAGTCTAAACCCAAAAGCCTCCTGACAGGCGCTTCTACCTGACTAGATTATTTATTACCGCACTTTCATGTCATTTGTAATATTTAGGTCACCACCAGTGATTCTCTGGAGCAAAGAGTGCAATTGTGCAAAGAGCTGAATGAGTCACTATGGGCTGGCAGGTTCAGTGCAAAGAGCAGGTTACATTCATTCCTAATGCTTTAGTTCTTAATGTGCTCTTTCCAACGCAAGATGACTACCTTCAAAAGCCTGTTAGTGCTGTAACGACTCTACAGAGAACATCAGTGTTAGCTGGTGTATTTTAACGTCTCCCTTGGGGTGGATGTGTACAACTGGCATGGTAAAGGTCCAATCCGAGGGTCACTAGAAATGCCAAATGCCAGACAGGAGAATAAAAGGCCAGACGGAGTCCACCAGCAGCCCTTCTCAGCTCAGACTGTCCAAGCTTGAAAATTGATTCTTTTGCCAGTCCAATCAAATTAATAGTAAGCAATTCAACATACAAGAGCAGAACAAACCATTCTGGTTAATTGTTTAGTGAAACACACCCAAGAGAGCAAAACTACAAAAAAAAAAACCCAAAATAAAACAAAATCTGAAAACAGTTACACTACAAAAAAGACTTTCTGTATATAGACTAAAATGAGAATGAAATTGTTGAATGTGTCCTGGCCTTTAGGAGCAGAAGGACTTCTACAAAAGACATCGGTAAGGGTCGTGGCGTCTGCTGACTGATGTAATTACCTGGGGAAGGGGGTCCTTCATACTGTGTGGTCCCTTGTAACCATTCCAGAGCTGCATACCTGAGGCCTTGTGACTGTATTGATGAGACGCGCTCGGACCAGCTGATGGTCACTTGACTCGCATTTTTTCTATTATGGGAGCTGCTCCCACTCACTCTGCCTCCGAGAGCCTTGCCAATACCTGTGGAGGGGTCCTGCCGAGGAGAACTAGGTCTCAGCAGGCCCGCTGAGGGACTGGTCAGGAATGACGTATGCAGCCCGCCTTTGACAAAAAGCATCGGGCAGAATGACAGAGAGGAGAAAAGGGCAAAGCTCCTGCAAGATTTACTGTAAGTGGCTGCATGTGTTTTGTGCTCGCTAGGTACAGACTGACTGGGAGCAAAGACAAAAAACAAACAGTTATGAGGCTGTCAGAGGACAAAACTGTGTTCAGAAACACCAGAGCTGGTTTTAATAACCTGCACAATAAAGCACCAGCATGCTTATAATATTTCTTGCTGTTTTGCATCATTGCTTCATGGCTCAATCTTTCTTGAATTCAAAGCTTAAAAGAATATAATAAGAGGTTTATGGCTATGGTAAAATCTACCGTAAGTCATTTAATCAAAAGCAAATTCGAAAGATTAGGGTTCGAGCTGGGCTTCAACTGCTGCAGCACAATTACTTACAAGAGGATCAGTGTTCCACAGCTTGCTGCAAGCACAGAGCACATGGAGACTTAATAATGTGCTTGGCCTAACACACCTTGAGCCACAGGCAAAGCAGCAGTTCTTACATTTGCACATAAATCAGAAAATAACTGAAAAGAGCTCCATGCCATGATTATGCCACAAATCCCCTTTGGAAAAGCTTTGAGGAACACAAATGTCTTTATTTAGCATGAAGTAGGGGCTCTGGTCACCCAGGCCTTTGGCAATGTATTCAGAATATGAACCCCCAGGAGGTGCTCGAGCTCTGTCTTTAAACGAACGGGCTGTAAAAATGTCACATTCCTTTCATTGCCTTCAGTGCGAGATACACTTCCACCCGCAAGTTTTCGAGATGCCAGTACATGAAAGGGAAGCATTTTCATCTGTGGACAGTACATACACATTTGTGCTACATCTGCAATGGAAAATCAGAAATCAGGCTACTAATTCATTCTTGATGTTTCATGTGTTTTTAAATGCAAAACACAGGGAGTACCATGAGAATATTCGTTTCTTAAACAATAACTAAAATAGGTGGTCAAACAGTAAATGGACTCCTCTTTTAAGGAGTCATATTTTAATTTTAAAAAAGTAGATTTGTGAGATCAAATGGTTGAATTTGTTGAATGGTACTTCATAAGTAAATGCAATTGATACTTTTGAGAATATTCATTACAAAAGCTGTAAGTAAATGGAAACATTTAAATCCTGGATTCTCTATATGACTTCCTTTTTGTTACCAGGGGTGGCTACACATGCAGAAAACAAACAAAAATACGGTTAACTTGCTCACCTTGGAAAACACCTGGAATGGAAAAGAGGAAAAGGAGGTTTGATGTCTTCCAAGCTGGTGTGAGCAGTTTGGGGACCTATAAAGAAAACATGAATAGATGGGTTTTAAAATGAGCCAACATAAAACATGATACACACTGTCAGAAAGTAACCATACTCACTTGAAGCAGTATACAACAAAGGGGCTTAAGAGACATGAGCTCTAATAAAAGCATAATATTGTCTAGAATACTACAGTCGGCAAAAAGCAGTCAAAAGATTAAACCATGCTAAACTTTCCACAGCACTTACTGTACATCACATGGTTTATCACATCAAGCTTTATTGAATTAAATCTTTTAACTAGCTTCACATTGAAAGCATGAAAATGAAAATGCCAAGCAAAGGCAGCCTTTTCAGAAATACAGGATGGTTACAAATTAAATAACCAGCATACAGGACATACTGTACTATTAACCTGGTTTTTAATCCCACATAGTTTCGCAATTGATTAGAAAGCAACCTACTTCATCTTTCATGTGCCGCAGTGTTCCAGAGCCAAGTTCCAGGCTCTGCTCTTTGCTATGTGGCAGAGAAGATCAAATACTCAAACAGCACAATGGCCTTGAGACTGAACGCTAATGAACGTAGGGGAAAAAAAAATGTGTACCTACAGCGAAAGAAACCAAGTCAGCAATGCTGAGTAAGACTTGACAAATGATAAAATCTTCAGGCTGACCTTCTAAACTGTATCTTATCTGCATTTTTCTGAACTTATAGGACGTAATTGTTCCGGGTGCAACAATTGTGAGAGAAAGATTGCCAGTCTCCTAGCATGAGCTAGCAGGAATGCGTTTGAACATACTGTATACAGCCCTGCCATACTAAAAGAAATGTCTTTGATGTATGCGACACAGTCCCAAGCATAAAAGGGAGCAGAAATAAAAATCATGCAGGTTCTGTTAGCTTGGCCTTTTCTTCAGATTCACACAGACAAGGCTGATATTGTCAGCTCTGTCACCAATTAGCTATGAGAAAACTGGCTGATTCCACTTTGCAGTTTGGAGGGTGCTCGATTTAACAGAGTGGAGCTTGAAATGTGCTTTACTGTGAAGGCGATCCCCTTTTGATTTATCGATACTGCTAAAGGGACAGGGCCATATCACTTTAGAGCTGGCTCTCTGAAAGCAGAGGCGGAGAAGCCTCCGGTTTCAACCGAGACAGTGAAAGGCCAGGCAGATGTGTCATCCAGAAAGTGGATTATGCGTCAGAATCTGCCACTCCTTAGCGCACTCCTCTTTTTCAATCGCGCGGCGCATCAGGGAGAAAGTGGGGCTGTTGAAAGCCAGTCCGCAGGATTTTCACACCTACAGAGACTCCTTCAACAACCGGCATTTAGAAGGACAGGCTTTCGAAAAACCTGGCATGAGAGAAAGAGGAGGTTCTGGGACTTGGAAGGATTTCCCTCTCTTACTGCCAACTGTGTCAAGTCTTCCATTGCCGCTCAGTGTAATTCTTAATAAACTTAATGAATTCTTGCGTCTGTATTTAGGAAAACCACTTTATCACTAAAGAGCACCTCCCCCCTGAGTGTCACGTGGCATTCCACATAGGCAGTACCACAACAAGGGTGATAATGAGGAAATACTTCACGAGTTGAAATAAGGGGGACCATTTAGGGAGGCCACAGCAGGATTTAGCAAGGACAACTGGATTGCACTACAATAAGAACAATGCCACAGGCTCATTCATCACCCAAGGCAGGACCTCAGTTTAATGTCTCATCCAAAGGACAGTCTCACCTCCTACAAAACGGCGGCACAGGTTAGGAAATTCTGATCCACAGGGAAGAGCTCCACCAACTCTGGACAGTTGACCAATACCACTTAGAGTTCACCCCTGGCTTCCCATAGGTTCCCTGTCCCTGCACTAATCCTGCCCAATGTAGCTGAGCTTCTGAGATCTGACAAGTTCAGGCTACAATGTGATCAGGTAGATTTAAAATGTCACTTACTGTGAAATAGGCATTATTTCAAGTGTTTTCAGAACTAAGAGAAGTTAGTTCTGAAGAAGTACCGATAACTGCCCCCTCAGTAAAGCAATGTAGGTATTGACTCAAACCTTTCAGATCATACTGAATATTGGTTGCAATGTAGACCTACTATACATGCTGGTATCTTGAACTGGGAATAATGAAGACTAATACAGGCACCACTTAACACATTAACCATGGAATAGTTATTTTAATTAATTTTACACATAAAATATACACATAGGAGACTAAATTAATAAATATACTTCAGACGTGGACATGCTCTGTGGATAAAATATTCCCTTAAAAACCGCTGGTATTCCAAACTATTTCTGGAAACGCATGCCAATTGCAATGATGGTTACAGGGTTGCTAAGAGAGAGGTCTGTGCATTTAAGACTCGACACTTCTTTCTATTCTTATTTTAACCGTGTCAATTTAAGAGAATAACAAAGAATACAAATGAGAAAGATGCCAGGGTATCGGCTTCAACAACATGGCTGGGCGGCTTGTTCCAGACTCCCACAACCCTTTGTGTAAAGCAGTTCCCTCTGATGTCCATTTTAAATGTAGTACCATGCAGTTGGCAAAATGTCCTCTGGTGTAAGTTTCACTGCTCATTCTGAAGATAGAGATCAAAATTAGAAACTGGCACGCTCTAAGCATGATGGGAACTAGCGAAAGTGAGGGGGTACTGTGACCATAGAGCCCTGCTTTTGGCTTTGTTTGCAGTGCAGCTCCCGCAGTTCGAAGTTCACGATTTTACAGTTGATGTGGGTTTCCTCCAAGCTGCCTCAAAGATGACTGGGCTGACCACATCCACATTCTGAAACATTTTTGTAGAACCCCTAACCAAATTTATGTCAAAGTGGTCGCCCCGGCAGGAACTGAATCATTTACGCTGCCCTGGACTCTGCCTAATGCAGCACTTCAGATAAAACTACTAGGGAATCCTCTGGCCAAACGCAGGGGCGTTTGGGATGACTCACCCTCCGCCTGTGGGAGGGCAAATGAACACCCTACGCTGCAGGTAAAAATGTGGCTTCAGAGGAGATGACCAGCAGAGGAAAGAAAAAAATTAACTTTGGTTGTGGTCAGTAAGGGAGGGGGTGGGGCAGGCTGAAGGACTGACCTTCATCACTGGTCACTTCCAGGTCAGCTTTTATGTTTCCAAACAACTCATATGACCAACAGACTTTAAATATCCATTAAACAGCCCAAATAAATTATTGGGACCGATAGGGCTTGTAAGACAATCTCACAATAATCAGAAAACAAAGCATTAGTGTTACAATTCTGGTTTTAACTCTAGGGACAAAGTCCATTTCTACATGACTCTGACGACTTAACACCTGAAGTATATAAAAGGGTTTACCTTTTAAACTTAATGGCTTTCACGTCAGTTACAGTACATCTCCCCAACCGCCTCTTATGTGGTAGATAAAGGGCAGCAGTACCTCTTGTATTCTACCATTTCAGTTTCTTAAAATAATGAAAATGTTAGCAAATCTCAAAGACGTACACCATGTGGGACAAATGTTAAATAAGGATAACGTGCATTGTATTCTATGTATCCTTTAAAAGGAAAAGCATGACTAATTTGACAACAACTTGAGTCTTTTACCTCTAGGATAGTTAATGTTCATATGATGGTATATATTTGATCAGGTCCCTTCCTCTGGCCTTCCAATACTCCAAACATTTAGGGGTGGGAGCCTAAAATTAATCTAGACATTCTGCAAACCTATCCTGAATATACACTAGGTTATGCTAGTAGGTAAAGTCAAAATTATACATACTGTATAAGCTGCAGATAGAACAGAGAGGAGACTTTATCAAATTTATTTTTCAGAAAACTACTTTGCTATTATGAAAGAATATTCACTCCCTCACTCTGGCACTTGACATATCCTTCTTTGAGAAGAGTTTTGGAAGCTCTTGTTCTAATTTGATATGAAATGCTTCTATCTGAGTGTCTTTAAACTGGTGGGTTTCCTATGCTGTGGGTGACAGTATTCCATCAACAGGATTAGGTCCATGTGTCTCACACTCTGGGACTTGCTGACATGTAAATCTTCCATGTCCCAGCAGTAAGACCACAGCTACGTATTTTAAATAAGTTTTGAGGATTTTAAACAAGTGTATTAGGTCTCCACATAGTACTCTCTGCTGAAGACTTAAAACAATGCACTACATTGACTGGCTGAACTCCTCAAAGCGGATATCACTGTTAACCTCACCTTTTCATCTCTATGTGTAGACTGCTTTTAAAAATGATTCTCGGCGTGTCTGATCAGAATATAATATTTGGTCATAGAGCTCAGTGGTTTTGACCAAAAATGTACCGTACATTTTGGCATTCTGTCTTAATGTTGTGCAGTAACTTCATCCATCCAGATGCAAAAACTATTGTTCTGATATTGTTCTATTAAGGTATGTTGCAAATTTTTCCTAAACCATGTAACTTTTGGAATAGTTTTGACCCTTTATTAAAGCGCTTTTAAACGATGTAATTACGTATTGTATGCCGTGTATGTTTACCAAATCATAAAATATATTTTAGAAAAATGATCGGGAAGGAGAATACTTTTTTCTTTGTGTCTTTTTACCCAAGCATCCCAAATTTCTGCACTTTCCAAACAACTTCAATGGAATATCTTTTACCTTGTGATCAAGAGCGTAAGAACGTTATAAGAAAAGGCAGTCTGGCTCTTTAGACTTTGCCATTTTTCTACTAAGTAAGCAATCCTATTGCACTGTCAAGCTTAATTTGCAGGGATCCTGGTGTATCAGTCCTCTACAGCTGAGCCTGGCTATTAAATTCCATGCATTGAAGTCACTTTCTCTGCTTAAGAAAAAGCAATGATTTCTGTTATCTGTGCACAATTTCTATATTGATGGAAATTGCATATTATATATATAAATAAATTCAATTTACATTCAACATGCATTCAACAATATATAAATACCTTCTATTTATTTCCTTTATAAAATACTTGAAAACTCAAAAACAATTGCTCTTAAGGATCTAATAAACTAAACTTGAATTGTGCAGGTTTAATGAAG